AAAAAAAAACTACTTAAAGCTTGACTTGAATGCAGCTCAGTCCGCATAGAGTCCACAAAGACCGGCATTTAGTGTTCAGTGGAAGAGCATTCACTTCTTGGCAACAGACCTGGTCTTGGAGACTCTGCGTTTGGTCTTCTTTGGGCTCTTTGGCTTCTTGGGCTTCTTGGCCGCAGCGGGTCTCTTGGCTTTCTTCGGGCTCTTTGACTTTCTCCTTTTCTTGGGGGACTTCTTGGCTGCAGGAGTGGCTCCTGCTGCTGCTGCTGTTTTCTTGACGCTGGCCCGCTTGACCTTTTTCGCCTTTGGCTTCTTCTTTCTCACCACCTTCCTCTTCCTAGGTGTGGGGGGCTTTTTGTTGAGCTTGAAAGAGCCCGAAGCCCCGCTGCCCTTGGTCTGGACCAGAGACTTTTTGGTCACCAAGCGCTTCACGGCGATGAGAATCCTGGCATTGTTTTTCACCACATCATATCCACCGGCCTTCAGAGCCTTCTTCAGGGCTACCAGAGACACACCGCCACGCTGTGTGGATGTGGACAGAGCCTTCAGTATCAAGTCTGACACAGTCAGGCCTGTTTTCTTCCTCGGAGACTTTGCTCTCTTTTTAGGAGATTTGGCCGGAGCTGGCGGAGTCAAAGCAATCGCAGCAGAAGACATTGTAACAGCTGTGATACCGAGATGAAGTCAGTGAGGGCCACAGACAGGATCAGTAGAGAGTGATATCTCTGCTTGCCCTCTTGGCTGGTTGAGGCTTTATAAAACCCCAATGAGAACCGTGTAGAGTCAGTCCCACTGCCACAGTGCGCCTCTTCTCCTCCTCCGCCACTTGATCAAATTTGTGTTTTCTTCAACTGGATAATTCTTTAAAATTCCAACGTTAATTGTCATACAACTATATAAAAGTCACTTCACAGCAATCAGGGAAATGTGAACTGTCTGTCTGTGTGTTTTTATTCAGCATGCGTTCAAATATATTAGCACCTGTTGAGCGATTAGAAGCTGACAAACGAAGAATGCAATGTGGGAATCGTGCTTTTAACATTTTGACTATGTTATATTTCCCAAATAAGTAAGAAAAAAGTTTTACAATTAATTAAACTCTAACATAGCGACGTGTCTAGTACACCGAGCCCAAAATTTAGTTTTATTTCCACCGTTATTGTGAAATATTTTCACCTAAAGAAGACTCAAGAAACACACCTCCCTTGATTCTATTTCGAGGTAACCACAGAGAGACTTCTAATGATAAATATTCAACTTGGAATCAAAGCAAGGGCGGACTTTCAGTTGGGGATGATGTGTTAAAGTATAATTAACAGAAAATTTTGTTTGATATGAATATATGTAACATGAAAGTGAAATTAAGGCTATACATTGAGTATTCCCTGTGTGGAGATGGACCAAAGCCAGAGTAGTTATCAGCCTGTGAGGAGGGGCAGCCCAAAAAACGAATTTCTGATTAATTTCCCGGGCTTTCTTTTTAACGAGACACTTTGTGGAATGACTCCAGTGGGGTGCTTGTACATAAATATAAATTTAAATTTATTTGAATTTAGATCATTTCTTATTTATGCATCAATTAACTTTTATGAGGAACTGCTGCGTAAAAATTGTGCAAAAATAACTTCACTTATGAGATTATAACAGTTCTGCGCATATAAATGCAAAAACACGAATCATGTTTCATTACACTGCACTTAAATGTCCTCGGGTCAGTTTTCCTCAGCCTGTGTTGGTTTTGGTAAAACAGCACAGCACACATGAATGTACAAAAACCATCCTTTACTTGCGCATCTGTGAAACCAAAACAAACTTCAGGCACCCTGACGCGCTTTACACGGCTTAGCTGTTTGACCTTTTAATGATAAACCATCGGTTTTATTGGGTTTTACAGGATTGTTACAAACCCGTGGGGGACAGGGGGGTTGTGATATTTGTTTACAAAAACACGCAATAAAATCTGCCACAGGTGGAGCCAAACAGCGGGAAAATAAACCAGAAAAAACGAAATCGTGTAGTCCAACATTGGAGTCTTTGTTTTATATTAATTTTATATTATTTTTATATCAGTTTTAAAATGAATGCAATTATCAGACATACTTCTGGGAATGTTTTAATATTACAGTCTTAGTGCAATCCATCAAAAACGTCTCCAGTGAAAGAGGGGATGTGTTTTTCTCTTCTTTGTGGTTTCTCGCGCTACTTTTGTTTGTTTTCTTATTATTAATGTGAGATAAGATATGTACTTGTGTGTGCGTGCGCGCGAGGGAAAAGATTGGCAAATGTTTCCGTGCCTTCTGTAGTGCGCTGATAGCGCCTCCTCACAAACACTGGAGTTTTGTTTGGCTGGAGTGCAGTTCTGATGGACACCTGTAGGTGGTGAGAGTGTTGTCACGGGAGACCAGCTTGAAGTGCCCACTGAAAGCCTCAGATGTGTAGTTTTTGTTTCCATTTCTCGCGTGTGGAAGCTTTTAATCGTGGGCTTGTATGCAGAGCAGTATGATGCAGGTATACTGCAGCACGTCTGATAAGGCTGCAATAAACTCTTGGAATTTGGACCCAGAGTGGGAGAAACTCCCTGGCAGATGCTGGACTTTCATCCTCTTTAACAACAAAGCCTTGACTGATTTTGCAGTTGTTGGTCATCTTGGCCTCATTATCAATACAAAACCTTTACTTCTATAGGCAAAGAGACCTACTCCGAGGCTTCTACGTGTTCCTCTGAATAGCGTGCAGCCGTGGTTTAAGAGTTATAACCCATGTCACAGTCGGAAGAGCAACTGAATATTTCTGCCGCTCCCGCATTCATTTAAATGAGTGTCAATTGCTTTAATCTAAATGTGTCAGTTGCTTTAATCTCTTGCAGTGATACAGAACTGAGCGCATAAAGGTCAAATGAAGCCTTCTGCTGAACTACTCTGAATAAAACAATTGTTTTTGTGGCTGCAAATTGTCTGTGTTGTGGTTTTCTCTTTCTATAACTCCCATCCACATAACCTTTTGACTCAATCCGAAAGAATAGCTGCCTATTGTCCTCAGAGTTACTGCAAAAAGAGTCACTACTTAAGCATGCTTCACACGACTAAAATACATATTTTTTCTGTTATTAATAACAATAAAAAAAGAAATGTGACCCCCCCCCCTATTATCTCACATACTTAGACAATGAAGGACAATGAATCTTGTGCTGTATTTCACAACCAATGACTGTATAATTGATGCCAACATTAAATTACATTACTGGAGCACATCGGTGGGATTAAAACCAATATGCAAATTTGAGACATAACCTTCAAAAAAATGTATGCTTAAACAGTAAGCTTAAACACACCTTCCTCATGCAGTGATATGAAAAGCATGCTGCTTATGTGCACTCTTCTTTGCCTCGAGCATTGGAAGTTCCATCCTTTGTGTATTTGTTTTTATTTTTATTTTTCTACTGGCTGTCACAAACTGCAAATAGGTAATTTTATTTTCTACAAATTTATAAGATCTTTGGCTTTATAATGGAACTTAACTGAACTGCATGTTGAATTAAAGGGGGAAATGAATAAAAATACATTTTTAAATGCCAAAGGAATTTAAAAGTAGAATCCTTTCTACGCAAAATTATGTTAAAATCCTTTAACCAAAATAAAACGCGTGTGATATCAAGCAGCTTGATAGAGTCTCGGGCTTCCTCGTGTGAGACTGATGTATGACGTGATGCACGGGTTGGAGTGGGAGGGGGAGCTGCAGGATCTGCTGTGTAGCTTTGCTCTCCTCCCATCATCATGTGACCAGGTGATCAGTCGGTACAGTCAGAACACAACGGAAACTTGTGACCAAAGCGGGCGGGCAGCTGGAGAAACTCGGCGTACATAAAAAGCGACATAAAAAGCTGGACATTCGGTCTTTTTCTTTCTCTCCTCCACCATCCACTGAGACGCCATGGACTGCGGAGTCGCCAAGATCATCCTCCTGTTTATCAGCTTGATATTTTGGGTGAGTCGCTGTGTAATTCTGTCGTTCGGCCACCTGCAGAGATTTTATTTCCTACTGACGACGCTCTGTGATGCGGAAAGGGAAAAAATAAATATGTGGGGGCTTTTCTATTTGTTTCTCAAAAAAAAAAAATCTGCTGCTATTTGTTTTCTCTTTACTCCTCCTGTGTGAATTGTGCTGTTTGGGGTGTAAACAAATCAGTATTATGGTTTGATAAAGATCCCAGTAGTCAGCCCCCCCCCCCCCTCCTTTTTTATTCTAGCACAGTCGCAGCATTACAGAGCACTTCCTCATTTCACCCCACCTACCCTTTAATAGACTTCTAACGTATGTAGCTCTGAAATAAAGAGGCCTGGGAAATTTTCATGAGATCACCGACCTGCCCGACTCTGCTCTTATTTTTCCGGCCATTCACTCCCTCATGCAGTCATGTCTGTCTTTGTGTTGGAGTACTTTCAGTTGTGTGCTGCTCGTTAATGTTGACTTAATAAACCCAAGCTTCTCCGCCTGTGTCCTCTTCAGTGACCTTACGAAGGCTTTTGAAAGGAGTGTGTAAATTTCCCAGCCTGTCCCTTCCGTGGTTAATGTGTGTGTCTAATTGGATAACTGTAAAACAGAAACAGCCTGTGTGTGTGATTATTTACCAGAGACAACATGGACGTGCTTTAATTTGAGTATTCAAATCCTTTTTTCCTCTCCTCTCCACTTCCTAGTTTTCCTATCTTCTGTTCCAGCCTGTATACTTTCTCTTTCTATGCCACACTTACCATCTTACATCCAGCAGCCTTGGGTTGGATTACTGAGCCTTTTTGAATTAAATGAAGGTGTTATTGCATTTCTCTGACCTTCACTTTATTTCAGTAATGTTCACTCCCTCCCAGCATGTGAGCATTACAGACAACAAATGACTCCATATTTTAAAAACACCTCTGCTATCTTTTTTCCTTTTGTTGCACAGCTGGGATGTGGAGTTAGTCAAACCTGCTGAGATTGTTTAGCCAACAAACAGCATTCCTGTGTTTGAGCTTCAGGCTGAATGTGCAAGTTTGACGTTTTTTTGTTTGTTTTTGTTTTTTTGTTGCTGATTTATCAGAGCAAGAGCCCTGATTAGACATGAGTTGATGAAGAAATCACGTATCCGGTTGAATTAACTATTGACCTTCATGATATACCCAGCAATTTGATAAATTAGGAGTTTCAGCTTTCTGTGGGAAAGTGAACATTTTTTTAAATGATAAACAGCCAGTTTCATTCTGGGGGATTGTTTAAAGAAAATCATTCAAAAGATTGAACTGAACTATGACCCACAGTGATAAATATTACACAGATCCTCACACGTGTTTTAAACAGTTGCTGATATTTCATGGTTAGATTTAGTGAACATGTTCATAGTTTGCTTTTATAAAACAGGATTTCTGCTGCTTCACAGCAATAAAGTTCATGTATCTGATTTAAGGAAACGATAAGTTAAATGGTTCCTGGTTCACAAAATTTACAGTAAGTCTTGTCTTTTCCTGGAATCAGATTGAAGCTGGACCTTCAGAGAACCCCTCATGGCCTCAGAGAGCTAGTTACATTCCAGAGAGGTTGCGTTTTACGTTGTGTAAGCCTCTTTGTGCTGCTTCTGAGCCCCAGGATCTGAGATTCTGGAGGGATTAGGGGGTGAGCACTGGATGGGCGGGGGGGGGCACAGCGTAACAAACCCACAGGGTTCCCGTGACCGTGAAGTGATCAAGAAAAGTGAGTCATGGGGCTGAGCTACAAAGTGAATTGTTAGGATGCGCTAGACACAAGCAACCAATGTATAAGTTGCTTAACTATGAAGGGAAGTAAAACTGAAAATTGCATGAATGACTTACCTCAGGGAAACTTTGTGTGTGAGACTTTCCGTCTGCTACAGAAATGAAAACGTTGCTGGTTAATACCTCCTCTGTTCCTGTGTTCTGACTGACATCACCAACGTATGAAGAAAGAACTCCCTATGCACAAACTTGGCCCTCATACCTGCGGTCATATGACTGGTGATCTCACTACTAAAGCATGACTAGCAGAAAGGTCGTGATGGCAGTGTGACTTAACGCCAGACATGCATCAAAGTTCAATGGGGCAGACTATCAGTGACTCTCACAGAGTATGTTAATCACATGAGAGCCAGTAGGACAGAAAAATAAGAACAAACATCTTTGTGCTCAGTTTTAACACAAAGTTTTAAAATCAATACAAAAAATAGAACTAAAACAAATAATTGATTTTAACAGTTATAGGTTTGGCCAGTGTAACATGTCAGAAACAGAAGTGTTGTAGAGGAGGAAGTATGATGCGGTGTGTCTGGTTTTAATGTTGTGTTGACAAAGCAAGGAGCATGTGACTGACTCGAATTTTAACAGTGTAAGCTTTTAAAAACCGGTTGCAGTCTGGTTTCTAGCAACTTCATGTCTAGAACGTCAGTTTCTTCCTGAAATCGTCAGAATGACTTGTGAAGGTGCAGATGATTTAGCCTCTATTGTAACCTGTGTTTATTTATAGTGGAATCTTTTTTTTGTTCTGTCCCCATTTCCTTCAGGCTGCAGGAGCAGGACTGGCCTATGTCGGTCACTACGTGATCAAGTCCTTCGGCAGCTTTGACAGTCTGATTCAAAATAAGTCAACTCTAATCCCAGCAGCCATTATCATCGGAATCAGTGCGGTGATGTTCTTTGTTGGGATCGTGGGATGCTGCTCAACCCTCCGCGAGTCCAAATGTGGCCTCAGCTTTGTAAGTGTGTGTGAGGGAATTAGGACAAGACGTGATTTGTGCCTTAATCATATTCCCAATTCCTTAATGCTTATATGCTCATCTGTAAAATCTGAAGGTAGAAGCCCAAGAGCAAACCCTTATCCCCTCAGCTATGATGCTACTTACCATCCTTTCTGTTACATTTATGTTTGTTTCTGTTGATCTTTCGCTCTGTTTTAGGATCCAAATTTACATCTCATTTCTTTTTTTCCATTCATTTTAGTTCTTTCTGATCATCATGTTGATCTTTGCAGCTGAAGTGACTGCTTTGGTGTTTAGCTTCATCTACCGCAGCAAGGTGAGTCACAGACGCTTCAGGTGTTCTAAATAATCCTAGAATATTAATCTGTGTTTAGTTATTTATTTTAAGTAACAGTAGGGAAAATATACTTGTCGTAGCTCACGGTTAACTTACATGACTGCTTACATTTGGGGGGGGGATTTGTTTCTCAACAGATCAATGGACAGCTTGAGAGGCCCATAAGAGACTCTCTTTCAAAGTATAATGGGGAGAAGAACTCTGACACCGAAGCAGTGGACAGCATGCAGACTTTGGTTAGTGTATTTTCCACTTTGATAATAGATTTGTTTTCTTGATTCTATTTTCATTCTCCATTGTCTCTTTTGCTGTTGTGTGCATTCTCTCTCTTACATGGTTTCACTTCCTCTTCTCCCTCCAATTTTGTCTTCAGAAGACAACAATAAAAATAAAAATGAAGTTCATAGGAAGTCGTTGCACTTTACAGCTTCATGACCTACATGCACCACTTTTACTTCTCCTGTGTCTGTCAAACGTAACTGTGGGAAACTGATAACTGGATTAGAAGAAGAAACCGATCCAGTGTGTACAAAACTTGAAACACTGCAACACAGCCGCAGTACCATATTTCCCTTAGCTCAACTTCTTGTAGGACCTTTATCTTTACCTGTACCTTTTATCATAGTTTCCGTTTGCACATGACCCTCTTCTCTTTGACTTTTTGCAGTTAAAGTGCTGCGGTGTCAAGAATTACACCGACTGGACCAACACCACCTATTTTTCTACAAACAAAACGCTGCCTTTGTCCTGCTGTAAGAACTCCTCATCGCCACAGTGCAATGGCAAACTGGAAGAAAAGGACCAGTTTAACACTGAGGTGAATCACACTTGAGTCACACGTGTTTGTCTTTCTCTGGACTGTA